GTTTGATTGTAAGTTTACTGAAATCAGAGTTCAGGTGATCCCGAATTCAATTTTTGAAGTTTTCAGATTGATTTTGTCTCGAGATTCGTGCTGGATCAAGATAATTTTTTGAGGATATATCAATGTTATTGATGCTTGACTTCTTATATGATTTATATTTAAAAAAAATACAAAAATATTATCAATTTATTTAGAGAGTAGAGCTTTTTATCCCACATACCAATTTAGTAAAAGAAGCTTCTATAAGAGGAATGATTCTGAAACTTTGCTGGTATTTTTAATGAGCTATCGTGATTAAGTTGTCTTAAATCTCATTAAAGAGTATTAAATGCTCATCAAGTACTGGTAAGGGTTTATATAGGTTATTTTAGGGTTAAAAATTAGCTAAATGAGTCTTGTATCACTATATATACTACAATTTGGGTACATTTTCTTGGAGTTATCGACATCATTAAATCGTAGTTGATACCTATAATCTATAAAGATCGTAATATTTAGGTGTTTTTGTTGAGATGCTTGTTGTTGGAATTAACCTCGTTATTAAATGTCTCTCATACTCATCGTTTGATGCTTCACGTATTCAACTCCAACACTCTTATCCAGTTAACGCTTCTAAGACCCTCATAATATATATTCGTCTCCGTCGACACCCTTTTGGATTCCCAACCCCACCATCTATGTCCTTTAGTAGTGCCGCTCGAATTGATGGAATATCTTATGTACAATTGTATGTTAACTAACACCTTGATTAGTTGTCTTACAAAATAAATAGTCATGGAAAGGATTGATCTCTAAGATGACAAATATAAATAACAGTCAATTGATTTGACAAGGGCATAAAATCTAAATCAATATTCTTGTGTTGCATCAAAAGGGTTTTTTGCTATACTCTCTCTCTCTCTCTCTCTGTATATATCCATCAAGCTAAAACACCCCTTGAGTAAATCCAAAGACTTGGTCTAATTCAGCCAAATCTCAATTCTTAAGCCTCTAGCAATTTCCACAATACTGATTTGGATCCACTGGTTTTTACATCCATAGAAATACAATTTTCATGAAAATGTTGAATGAGGGAGGCATCATTCCATGAAAAAAGAAAAAGAATAAAAAATTTAATTTTTCTTATAGATATTGAAATGAAGAGTTGCATCACTTTTTTATGAAAACTCTCAGACATTTATGAAAATTATGAACATGACATCCATTCATGAATTTTGGGTTTGCTCTTCACATTATAAATACTATCATCATCATTTTAATACTCCAAGACATAAAATAACATAACTAAATTAAATTATTATAAATAAGATTGTAAGGCGCAATTATAAGAAATATTTACTATGTTTTGCATCATAAACATGTCAATTTTAATAAAAAATAATCTGAAGCTAATATTTACTAATTAAATAGTGAAAATTGATGCTACAATTTTTTATGAAGACTTATGGTTAGAATAATCACTTCATTAAAGATAGAATGAATTGATATAATATAATAAATATATATATGTTCTCATGTTCCCTCACGAAGTCAAAGGGAAGTAGTTATATGGGTTATATTAGGGAATGAGTCATGTATCTTTCTCAGTACTCCTCTTTAATTGGGTGTGCTAGGACATGAAGTGCATCAACCAAAAATCACATTAATAAAAATCTATTCATCTTTCCTCAATCTTGTATTTTTTCGGAATCATCAATGCTCACGAGCCATTATTTACCCTTATGTTTCGCTAGTTTTGTAACATTCATTGTTATAATTGTGATACTTGTCATTTAGTGCTCATTAATCAACGCATCTCATCACTATTGTCTGACTTTCCTACATTGAATAAAAATTAAGTGAACTTCAGAAGATTATATGAGACATTCATGAACTAATAACTAGAGTGAAGGTAACATCTTTCTCAAATTTGATCTTGACACCTCAATTGGCTACCAAACAGCCCCCAATATTCAATCATATTATATAAATTCATGTAGTGACTTGTATTTTTTTTGTTCGTCAACAAATAACAAGTGCATTGTGATACAGTTGAATACATAGCCAAAGGCAAGCAACTTCTCAAGCTCCTTGAGTTACGCAATTGAATATCGAGACATTTTCACCTACTCTAGTAGTCAAATCCCTAATTAAGCTCCTTTCTTAATTCAACTAGCACTAAAGCATAAGCTCCTATTCCAACACCAAAGTTTATATTATCATCAATTTTAATAGACAACTCTAATAGCATTGCAATCTTTACAAGACAAAAAGGAATAGATAGAGGATTAGTTGCTGCCTAAGTGGCCACTTGCCAAAACTGTAGTTCTATGGCCACCCACCTCCACAAATTTGTTAATATTTGCACCAACATCCTAACTTGAAGACTCGGCGAGTATTTCTCATCTTGATGTATCTTATTTTACAATGACTTCGATGTGAGAGCGAGGTAGATTTTAAAGGGATAACTAATATTAAAAAACTATTATCTATTATAATAAGTTATTAAATTGATTCATTAGGTCATTTTGAGTATATAGTAATTAATAGATAATAGTAAGAGGTTATATGGGTTATATTAGGGCCAATTTGTAGCTAAATGACTCTTATATCTCTATCTATACTCCTTTTTAGAAGCAATAAGACATGAAGAAAATCAGCTACAATTCCCCCAAGCTAAGAATTCCTTCTACCTCCTCAGTCTTGCATTTTTTTAGAGTCGTTAGCACCCTCGAATTAATATGTACCCCTATGATCCACAAGGGTCGTAACATATATTTTTATCAGGTAAACTGAATGCATATAAAAGATTAGCATAATATCAATTACAAAATATAATATTTTCACATAAAAAAATACAAATAATAGTGAACATTGGAGTTAGAGACATTCATAAGCAATGTTCATTGTATTAGCAGAGATGCTGTTATATTTGAAAAAAAAAATATGACTAATATTTTACATAAGAATACCTGTATCAAAAATAAATATTACGCAAATATAATCTATAGCTTTCAGAAGCTTCCTTTTGATACATTGTAATACTCGAACATGATAAAAAATTCACATATATTTTAACTAGAGGTGTCAAAGAGTCTTTCCGAGCTCGAGTCATCCCTTGTTGAGCTTGATTAATAATCAAGATTGAGATTAATACTACAAGTTTGAGTGGCTCATGAGCTGGCTCATTTATCATTAAAAAGATAATATCATTCTTATTTAAAAATTATTATAGTATCATCATAAAAAAAAAATCAAAATCTAAATGAAAATAATAAGAAATCATTTGAAATAAGGATAAATTTTAATTTTAAAATATTTTAAACTATTTCATTCTAAAATTATTATTTTTTATATATTTTTTTGTGTATTTTAAATTAATATTTTTTCAAACAACTCAACTCATTAGCTGAAGAATTGAATCTTGTTAGTTCATAAAGTTAGCTTACAATCTATTTATTGAATCAAGCCCAAGCTGACTCACCAATCCAAACCGACTCACCAATCGGCTTAACTCAATTATACATCTAGTTTCAACCAACATAAAAATAAAAAAAAATAAAATATATCTATATATATATTAAATAATAATAATAAAAAAAAAACCAGCATTATGAAGACCTCTATCATAAAACTCTCAAGTGCATTGTTAATGAAAAATGATGAGTTGACGCAAGGAGATACGGTTGCTCAGTACTTTCTTTTTCCTTTTAGTTCATTGACTCTAAAATTTTTTTTTTAAAACATCAATCTAATCATTATTACTTTAAAAATGTTTATTAACTTTGATTTCTATTACAATGAATGTGGTTATTTAAATAATAAATTTTGTTCACATTCAATGGATTAAAAAAAAATTATCTTCGATCATAAAACATAAATCCTTTTTAGAAAAAAAAAACTCAAGACTTCTAATAACAAATTTTTATTATTATTGTTTCCTATACTTAGTTTTTAATAAATATAGGGCTACTTGAGTCAAAGAAGCTACTCGTTTGCCAAGGTATTTGAATCAAAGTTGCCAAGTAGGCTTCTAAGTCATTTCACTTTTTTTTTTCACACACACAATCTCTCTCTCTTTACTTTCTCTCTCTCTCTACTTTCTTACTTGTTCTTAAATCAATTTTTTTCAAGCAACTCATACGTTACTGATCCTACCGTGGGATTTTATCAATTTCCAGTAGACTTATTTGGATCAATTCTTATAGCCGTAGAGATACATCTTTCCATGAAAACAAAGAAGTAGCATTCTTTCTTAATAGAGATTGAGATGAAGAATTACTTCTATCATGATAAGCATCGAGAGTCTCAACCATTTATGAAAATTATGAAGAATCACATCTATTCATGATTTCTGGACCAATTCCTTATACTATATAACACAGTCAGCAGAAATATATACTATGATTTGCACCGTAACCAGATCAGTTTTAATAAAAAAATGGTCAATCTTGATGTCTGTTTAAAAAGTATGAACTGATGCCGCAGGAATTCATAGATTTATGGATTCAACAAGTACAGTGAAGATAGAGTGAATAGATGTAATCTGGTAAATATGTTTCTATGCTTCCTCACCAAGTTCAGTTAGGTTTTCAATAAATCAACATTCATAATGTAGGATCTGTAAGGGATAACTTTTATTTTTTTATTAGCACCTTATCAGTTGTTGTCAATGACTCTCCAACGGATAAATTATTTTGTGCGGACAACGGACGTCATCCAGGCCAACAAAAACGCGTCACATCATTTTTTTTGCTTTGAATCGGTGTTGGGTACCGAGCAACGTGGCGCGATCTGATTGACCTCCAGACCGTCCGGTGTTTGTACAGAATAATTTCTCCCTCCAACGACCGCAATCTCCATCTTATTAGAAACAAGACAATATGCTTAAACATTGTAAATATGATTTACTTCATGATAAAATAAAAATAAAGCAAAAAAGACATCTTAGTTTTTTTTTTTTCATAGTTTTTTTACTATAATATCTTCATAATTTAGATGAGTTGGCTCTACAGTCTACACATCCTCTTCTCTCAGAAGCATGAATGAAAAATGTTCACAATAAAACTCCAAATTTGAACAACAAATAATTTAGTGCAGAGAATTAGATTTGAAAAGGGGACAAATAAATGTAGAGAGGCTTAAAAAAACTGCAAAATAATAAAATTTACTACACTCATGTGAATATTGGCGCCAGCTCTTCCATATGAACAGCTAATGCAAATGAACTCTCCAAGGTACAAATGGTATATTATTACTAGCAGAATGAGAGAAGGCAAATACCATCAGTGTGATTCTATAAGCACATATAATGGCTTGCCATTCAGCTTTTGACGGCCCTGCACATCCACAAAATGAACTTACTATAATTTGTGAACTGTGTATTGCAATTTCTGAAGGATAGAAAAGCAACAACCTCCCTATCTCACAATTAATATGTATAAATTGCTTAGAATCAATAATTTAGGCTTCATTTGGGACGGCTTTTTTACTGCTTCTTAAAGCAATTTTTTAGCATATAAATTAAAATTTTTGTATTAAAAAGTTGTTTGAAGAAGCAGTAAGAAAGCCATCTCAAGCGAAGCCTTAGTGATAAAAGTTGCGGTATTTTATTATATATTAAGAGCCAGCTTGTAAAAATGAGTCTCCGAACATAGTGGACCTTGAGAGACCTCATCTTTGTACATGTTCAGATTAATATAATTCGCAGTTTTGAAGTGTTAAAAGAAGATATGTTAACTTTGTAAGGGTAAACCAGCGAAAACTATGAGAGAGAAGAAATGGGGGGAGAAATTTTAAATGTAAATTAAAATTCAAAAAGAAATAATCAAAAACTGGAAAAAGAAAACAAAATGAGAAAATAAAGGGGAACAGATGAAGAAAGAGAAATCCTAGAGAGCAAATACGTTGTTATTACTAAGTGTATGTATGTGCACGCATAGATATATGATTTTATACAGGGGAATATAGAAAAAGATATATATAATTAAATAAATAAATAAAGCTCGATGTTCATAAACAGCTCATGATCTGGTCAATAATTAGCTTGGGTTCCGCTTTTATACAAACCTGTTTAATTAGCAAGCCTAACACGAGCATAAAATCTTCGATTTGGTTTTTGACTGTGTATGAGAGAGGAGAAATTATTCTGTGCGGAGTCTGAACGGGAAGAATAGTCTGGACATGTGATTATATAGTGTGTATCAAATTTTTGTTCACACTATTTGTACACAATATGTACACTCACGGTTCTTCCTATCCGGACTCCGCACAAAATAATATCTCGTGTGAGTGTGTGTGTGTGTGTGAGAGAGAGAGAGAGATATTCTCTAATCTAATAAGAATTTTAAGTAGATTTCATGCTTACAAACAGCTCAAATTTGGCTCAATAATTAAACAAGAACATTAAAAAAAATTGATGAGCTTGGTTAAAGAACCAAACCGAATAATTCTTAAACTAGTTCAAGCTCGACTTACTCACACCATGCCTTATCCTGGTGTGCTTCTAAGTGCATGGATGGAAAGAGTACGTAATATAATTGCATAATTTACCTTAAGTTCAGGCAATTCAATGACACAAGCACATTCCACAACTTGAGCCCCTGCACGTTCTGCAAAGAGATTGTAACGAGTTTAAAATTCAAAAGCCTTCAGAAGCAAAGTCAGTTAGTTGCATGAAGTACATAAAATAGGAATAATGAAACAGATCACATATTATCACTATACCATAAAATAATTCAAATGCTACCAAATAGCATCTCATCACAGGAATATATATATATATAACCAAACATTTCAAAACTTCAAGCAAAGCAAAATTATTCTTCACATTCATTCAGATGTCATTCAAATTGTCATGGATGAATATGCAAAAGTCTCTAGTGAAACAAGTTAAGGCCTTTGGGTTGGCATGAACTGAAAATTACTTTGCCCATATAATTTAAATGGACCCTTTTGTTTTAAGTAATGGTTCATTTGGGGTGACTGCAACATGTTGTAAGGGTGATTGTAGAATTGTTATGAGAAAGCAATCTTTTTAAAACCAATTGTCAGTATTAGAACTATTTTCTTTTTTGAAAACAAAATCAAACAACCTCTTTACAGCTATCATACTCTAGTACGGTTTTGTTTGAGACAATTTTCTTATTGCTTCTTAAAACAACTTTTTAGTACAAATTTTTAATACTAGAAAGATGCTTCAAGAAGCAGTAATAAAGCCGTCCCAAACCGAACCTAAGTCTTATTATAAAAAGTAGCTTTCCATCACAAAGTTTTTGAAAACCAAAAAGAAAACAATAGCCAAGCAGAATCCCAAACAACCCCTATTTTAAAAGTAATCTTAGTCATACTACAAAAATAATATTCAGAAGTAATTATTGCTACTATTGAGGCGCCACAGAGAAATTAGAAATTTGATTTCCTTCTTTATAAGAAACTACATACAATACGGGTAAACATGAAGAATTATTACATAAGAATAGTTGTATTCCAAAAACTAATATAGATTAGAGGAAATATCGCAGGAAAGCTGGTTTAATTCCCTGTGCAGCTTCATAAACTTAAGTTTAGCCTTTGCAAAATTTATGATGCTCCAGCAACAGCATGATCCTATAACCAAGTAAAACTAGCCATGCGCACAAAACTATTATGGTAATGTCAGTTACTAAATAAAAGAAAAACTATGCTGACCATGCCCTCAAAATTAAAATAAAGTATGTAAAACGTAATGCTCAACGCTTTCAGAGTTTAAGTAGATATCACTGTAGCTATAGCCAACTACTGGCAATCTTAAAACAGAACTAAACAATATAAGAAGCCGTTAACATTTGATAAAATTCAAACGAAAAGAATTCCCTATATCTCATTCAAGTATTTTTCAGATCTTGCGTACCAAGCAAATTTATGGCGGCACAGAGAGTTCCACCAGTTGCAACCAAATCATCCACAACTAAAGCATGTTCACCAGGTTGGACTGCTCCAATATGCATTTCAAGACAGTCAGATCCATATTCTAGAATATACTTTTCTGAGATTACTTCACCTATACATTTTTAAAGCAAGGTTCAAAAGGCCTTCTTGAAGAAAAATTACATTGAAGTAATATAATCTTTATAAATGCTAATTTAAAGTTCAGATAGACTGGTTGATAACAAATGTCAGTAATTCTCCATCCAAATGGTGCATCCTATGGCCATCACATCATACAGTTTTGAATTTAAATTCAAATTACATTTAAAGCTAACTGTTCATCTCTTGTATGTTATTATTATTTTTAAATTTGATTATGATATTACAATATTTTGAACTTGAAAAGCATAACTACTTTATTAAATACTTAACTACCACGTCATACATGTCATTATTTTTAGATTAGAATATGGCATGAAACCATTTTGAATTTGATAAGAATAAATGTATAATTAAGTTCCTAAACACTTAATTATCATTTTATGCATGTCATTAGTTATGCATTTGAATTCAAATTAAAAGTTATAACTATTTGATAGGAAAAACTTGGATTTCCAAGGGTTTCTCACCAAAACCCAATAGATTATGCATTTGAATTCAAATTAAAAAGCTATAACTATTTTACTTAAAAACAGAATCATTAATTCATGCATGTCAACAAATTTTATTTGATGGAAGAATAAGTTTGTTCTACGATGTTACTTTTTATTAATTCTTTTAATTTTAGTTTAAATTTAGTTTCTCAATCACTAATCATTTTAAATTTAGTTTCTCAATCACTAATAATTTCAAAAGCATCAAATACGGCATCATTAGTAAGAATTTATCATTAAAAACTCATGAAAATTTTCAACATAGATTCAATGTCAACAAATGAACAGTACAAAATATTATGGTTATGTTGGATCAAACCTACAACCGTATATGGATATTCACAGCATATTCAAGTGATGATTGTGAAATTAATTAATACATATAGGACAAGTTTCAAATATTTTCTAAAACTTAGAAAGTAGCAACAGGTATCCACCTTCTCCACTTTCCCTGAAAGACAAAATGATTGTTATCAGTCGCGAGTGATACTTATCTACCTGGAAGCTTACGAGGCTTTCTTAATGGTATAAACTTTGCACCAATTGCCAAAGCAATGGGAGGACCAAATATGAAACCTCTGGCCTCAACTCCTACAATAAATAGCATGCAAGTTTAATAAATTGAATAAAAATTTGAATAATGGGGAATAAAGCTCGGTGGAATGTTTAATATCATTGCCTACTACAGCCAAAAAGTAAATTCATTGGCAAAATAATTGATTCATCATGACATACATGTTATAAAAAGGCATCCCATTTCTTCACTTCTACAAAGAGAGTGGTGGAAACAAGAAACAAATTTCTTGCAACATCTACCTGGCACATTTTATCATAACAAGAATAATGGTTTTTATTAAACATTGATGATTGTCCTAAAAAATAGGTTCTAATTTAAGCTTCGTATGGGACGGCTTTCTTACTGCTTCATAAAGCAGCTTTCAAGTACAAAAAATTTAATTTTTTTTCTAAAAAGCTGCTTTAAGAAGCAGTAGTGAAGCCATACCAAACGAAGCCTTAATTCAAATTGTTCAATCAAGAACTTCAGATTTGTGCTTCAATGTTCTTCATGTAATGAAAGTAGAATAAGATGATGATGATCCTTCTAGTTCCAACACCACTGGATAGTGTCAAGATTTGTATCAGCCTATTGGTTATCTTGGTGAAGCACACATTCATCAACTCTAATTTTGAGTTTCCGATCATTCGATTCAGATCTCCAACATTAATCTTGAGGTCTAGGGCCTCCATTGATCCATGCATAATCATTAGAGGAAAAATGTTCCAAAATGGATCTCTAAAATGATGTGGCTTGATCTTTCATCTTTCAACCAACCAAGGAACCTACATAGCCGTGTTTTGGCATATAGCTCATTTACTCACAATAAACATTATGTAGGTACCAAAATGCCCTTCATCCAAACACTTCTAAATACACAGGTAAAGCTCACCTAAAATCTCTCATTTACTCATCCCAACGAGAAACTTTGCTGAATCAGTTTTAGCTCTTACTTTCAAGTTTTTACAAATTTGAGCGTCAAAGATCTTCCTAGTGCAAAAATCCATTAGGCTTAACATCAAGCTCAAAACAATTCATCTATCAAATTATGGCTTCGTTTGAGACAGCTTTCTTACTGCTTTTTAAAATAGCTTTCTAGTAAAAAAAATTATTGAACTAGAACTTTTTTTACTAGAAATCTGGTTTAAAAAGTAATAATAAAGTTATATCAAACGAAGTCTATAACAACAGTGAATACCATTTCTAACATATAACATGTAGACAGAAAGTCTACCTCACAAAGAATATTGCACAAATGCTAGTTGGCATTTAAAGCAACTTGAAGTTACTGCAGAAAGATAAAAAAATCAATAAGCTGAGCCCAAAAATTCAAATTAAAAAACTAAAACTAAGCCAATATAATTCAAAGTGAATTAATAACACTCAAAAAGCACCACAAAAGAAATATTTTTAAGTACAAAAAGGAATAGCACAGTAAACTTAACATTAATGAACCCAAAAATTAATATAAAACTTAGGTTCTAAAATCATAACAGGATGAATTTGGGCCAGATGTCTAAAAGGCATTATTAATTGTGCAAAAAAAGTCACTCCAGAACAAGCCCTGCCTTATTCTTAAATATACGTCATCCATTTGCATTAATTTAATATTAAAGATGATGTCATTACTTATAAGAGAACATTAAATTAAGCAAATTCTGAATATAATCCAAGCCAAGTGTGGTCATCAGTATTAAAGTCTTATGACTTCTTATGACAATAATCTAGCAGTTGCTAATATATTGTTAGCCCCACTTAGATTCAAGCAATTCGCAACATCTATGGCAATATCCACCTAAATCACTATTGACATTGACATAGTCCCTGTCCTTGCACATTTAAGTCTCCATCCAAAACCAGCTATTTTTGGTAAATGTCTTGATAAAGACAGAAAATAATAATGGAATATCAAAGTAACCTTTCAAATAAAAAGAGAAAACTGAATTTTCGGGACATGGTGCCTGAATAAAAAAATATAAATATATTAATACAAACATGATTAGAATCATTTATTAGTTTCTTCCACATGCCATTGGTTTTTATAATTTTGAAGTTTTCATTTTTCATATACAAACACTTAAAACTAAATGTAAATTAAAAGAAATATAATTTTTAGCATTATATATAACATCAAAAAAGTTGTGACTAGGGGTGCAACATGTGCAACTACTTTTTCATCAACATTAGAGATCAAGTTGCATTTGGAATCTTCTTTTAGAGAAATAACTTTTTAAGCTGATAGATTGCTCCATGTGATGAAAGAAATCTTGTCATCGTCTATCCACATCGAAACACCACCACTGGAAATAAAAAATAGGAGACCCACTGCATAACTTCTCACATGCTTTACCATAATTGGTATCCTATTAATGATGAATTCAACAAAGATGAATTATTTAGCCTTGTAAGTTTCTCAAAAAAATATCAGAACAAATGACAGAACAATCATGATACCACATAAGCAGATGTGAACACACTAAGGCTTCGTTTGATTCTTCCTCTCCTTTTGTAAAAGACAGTTTTAGAAACAATGGTTAAGGGTATGGAGTTTTCTAACGAAGAAGTAAATATCAAAAAGCTTCTCAAAACAGTAGAAAAATGAAGTTCCCTAAAAAGCATTTCTATAGAAACGTCCCGTCCAAATAGCGACCAAAAAATAATTTCTCCCTTTCTAAACAAAAAAGGAAAAAAAAAACGCCGAAACAAACGAGGCCTAAGTGTTCCCATGATTCTCAACAGCTTTATCCCTTCTTATTGTTGACTATCAACCACATGTTGATCTACATCTTTTCAAGAAATGGGACCCAGCATAAATTACTCTGATAATAGAGTAAGGGAATCAAAAGGAAACAGACTTGTTACTTTCATAAAAAAATGTTCGATATCAACATTTAGCACTAAAGCAAACATCAATACCCATACACAACAGTTGAAATGACAATGACAGGCAAATATGAATCATCATGTAGCATTGCACATTGTTTTTGGCAAAAATCAAAGTTACCTTTCGAGTACAAACCATCATGCTTGGAGAAAAAGTAAAAAATAAATGCAACGAGCCCATAATTTTGCTCAGATTCATGGTCAAAGTTTCTTATTTCTGCCAATCTAGCCTTTTCCTCTAGAAAAGGGAAAAAAATTTTAAAAGAATTTAAATTCATCTGTTGTTACAAGAAAGCATAAATTGGTTACTTTTGGAGAAGTTTTCACTTGTCAAAGCCTCCAAGGCTACTAAAACTAAACCTTTTAGAAACACCTGCACATGTTTACTTTAAAAACAACATGATATGGTCAAGTGGGCATCTGAAAACATATAATAGCAGGCCCAATTGTAATATAACAAACAACTACAGTATAATAATAAAATTAGGTGCATGAAACAGCAGTAGTTCTACATAAATGTCAGAGTGGAAGTTATTTATCTATCAGCTTGCCATATAAATCATATATTGTATCACCAAAAACTTAAATGATACAAGCAGATTGTCCTGCAGATAATTATAAACAACACTATGTTGCCATATAAAAAAATTAATTGCATCACCAACACTGTGTTGCCTTAAGTTCTTTATGCACATTTACCTGTAAATTCATTAGGTTCATACAAAAAATAGACACAGCTCATCTTGGTCTGTTGGTTGGGAGCTTCGGCTATTAATCAAAAGGTCTTGGGTTCGAATCTTGCATATGTGTTGTGTGTGTTAGTTATACATAATTGGCCTAAATGTCCAAAAAAAATAAAAAATAGAAACTTTTTGCCCCAAAAAAAATTGCAGGAGGAGCTTTAGACAGCATGCTTAAAACAAATAAAATTAATATAAAATATACAAGAAAAAAAAATTCTTCAACAACACTAAAAGTTGATATTTTTCATAAGACAAAATATTATTGTATTACAGTTCATACAAAATGCCATCTTTTTTTTTCATTATGAAAAAAAAAACATGTTTTGAGTCTTTTGTCCAAATACTCCGGATAAAATTTTCTTTTAGGATATCGGTGCACTTAGTTTCCCCTCCTCCCATAGATTATTATTAGATCACATATACTATCGGGTAGAGACTGATATGTGCAGCCAACATTCATTGCATAGAGGCTTTCCGAAACTTAAATCCATAACCTCCAAAGCACAATAGAGAAACCTTAAAATAAGATGTCCACAAAACATCAGAACTCAACAGAGTTTATGCCCAAATAACTAAATTTAGCCAATAGAAACATGACAAGGAACCATCAAAACAGTTATCCGCCATGAAAATGACTTAACACCAAGATCAATGAGAAAAAACTTTGACAGGAAACAGTATATAGCTTCCCATACGAGAATCCACTGAACAGTGATAGTTTTGAAAGCAAAAAGAGAATAGAATATGTTGGACAAAGAGTAGTAGCTTTCCAAAATTTTCAGAGTGGGGGCACCAAAAGTCAATGTCAGCATCAAGCCCAGCAACTCCACAAACTAGAAGCAATAAATTTTTTTGGAGTATTGCTACAATACCCCGAAGAAGTCCACACCAAAACCAGATAGGGATCCACTTTTTTTTGGGAAAAGATAGGGATCCACTTTGCTTAGTGGTTTAATAAAAGTAGAAAAAGTACAATAAAATTAATTTATTTTCTCTATTAATAAATTTTCACAATTTCAAAAAATTCAATTCGTCTCCCTCCAATAATTTGTTCTATTTAAAAAAAAACAAAAAAAAAAAAATTGGGTCGGCCCCAGTGCAACACACCATTGAAAGTCCTGAACGGCCACTGAGATTGCGAAGCAGTAAATCCAATAACCTTAGCATTTCCTAAAAAGCCACCAGATCACCAAAAAAGGAAAGCTTTGATTTCCTCCAAAGTAGCAACGAACTGGAAGACCCCGCAATGGACATTGGAGAAGGAGAAGGAGAAGGAGAAGGTTATTACCAGCGACTGCGTCGATGCCCTTCCCACTGTAGCGTTCCACGAACAAATCTATCGTGTTTTTGAACGCGTTGGGATCAAGAAGCAACGTGGTGATGTCTTTGAACATAATCCCTGAATTATAATGAAATTTTTTTTCTGATCAGCTCCAGAGTTGATATTTCTAGACAAAGCAGGCCATTTAGTAAAAAAAAATCCTTTTTTTTTAAAAGCTGGAGGCGGGAATAGTTCTATGAGGGAAAGTTGAAAGAAATAAATAAAAAAGAAAACTTAAGAGGAAAAGGTGACCTGGTTTGGGGAAGTTGGGAACGACGCGAATGGCAGAGGCGATTCCCTCAAGGCGGGGATCATTTTCCTTGTCCTTCCAGGCCGACATTGTTCTCGACAGAAATACAAGAAGAGGCTTTTCCCTTACCTCGTTCTCTCTTACTCTCGTGCCCCTCTCTCTGGCTTGAAGCCGCTGAGCAGAGAAGAAACAGAGGCAGGAGAGAGGAGAGGAAAAGGTTAAGCCTTTAAGAGAGAGAGAAGTGGGGGACGAAGCATATTTATACTGGGGAAAAGAAGAAGAGGCCTTAAAGCTAGGATCTAGGACCTTTTCGTGGAATAGAGAAGAACCGGACGGCTCTCTGCACGACAAATCGAGAAGAGTTAAAAACGACTGAGAAAAAGAGAGAGTAGGGAGGTAAAACAAAGAGGGAATTAAAATACTAGTAACGCTAAGGTATAAGCAAACAGATCTCTCTTTGACCGGAAGATCTCTGGTTCACTGTCGCCCTTCTTGTTGCTTTCCTCTCTAGTGAGATGTCCTTGCTTCGTATGGCAGCACGGAAACTTTTTCGTTTTTATCGAGAAGGTGAAGAATAAAGAGGCGAAACTTAATAAAATAATTAGCCAGATATTAAAAAATTAAAAAATAAAATGTTAATTAAGATTAATAAGTGAAGTATATAAATATTTAATATGACTAATTTTAAAATAAATTCATTCTAAATATTTTTTATCAACAAAATATATAGCTCACACAAAAAAAATTATAGGAGAGCCTACAAGTTTTTTAAAGAAAAATAGGGTAATGATAGCTAATAATATTTGTTCAAACAAGAAATCCAACATATAAGAGAGCATGACAATCAATAGCGTAGGAGAGAAAGTCATCCATGAAGGCAAGCAACACATTGTTGATTAGATGCATATATCATTATAAATATAATATTTTGATATCCTAATGTATAATACATCATGATGCTTCAATTTTTTTTATTTTACTTTGAGATTAGTAATGCTTATAATATATTGACTTGCATTAATGTCCATACAAATCCATGAACTAAGGTTATCGTGATATATTTTCACATTAGAATATTTTGACATAAGTTTCTTTTTTTTTGTAGTGTCAGGGATCACCTAAAGATGATGATGAAAAGCATCCAAAATTTTATAAACTCATCATTTGATAGAAGTGAAAACTAACCCAATCAAATAGCAAAACGGAAGGATCAATAATAAAGAACCAAAAATCACGTAGCAATATAGAAATTTCTTTAAATTAAACCAAACACAAAATGAAAAAGGCATCTTGAGAAAGGCAGTCAATATAAAGAAGCAACGACATTAAAGGAGACTCCTTATAAAGCAACAAAACCAACACAACCTAGAGTAGTTGATCGCAACAACAACTAAAGAAACTTTCTCAAACATGAACCATGATGCATGCTGCAATTGAGAATTTCCATAATCAAATTTTAGATCATCCAAAACTCCAATTTCAACAAATTTATAGTCGAATTGAGTGTCTTGACGAGATGAATTCAACGGCAACCAAAGTGATCCATTTTGAATTTGAATGAGCCTAAATCTTGCGCATTAAGCATAGTTGGTTAATCCTGAATATTAATTAGAGGATTAAATAATCTCCTAATCTTGCATGCTTATAATAAATTGAGCCTCTTCATAAGTTAAATTCAAACATCCCAAGATTGCTTAATTCTAACATCATTATGACCCTCAAACATTCAAAAAGCACCTTATGATCAATGGGACCACTTTGAATTTTTCGGTGGAGTTTTTTTAGATTTTGGATATATTAAATGAGAATGCTACTCTCAATAATTATAAATAGGTCCCCACTCTGCACATAAAAGGAGTCCAAGGGTCAGAACTACCTTAACTTGATATTTGAAAGAGCTCTCTCATCGAACATATGTTGTCCAATCACCTTTCAATCACAACCACTAAACCATCATCATTTAATAACTGTCATCTAACATTTACAACCCGACCATCATAACTCAATTACTAATTTCCAATAATTATCACGCAACTATGATATCCTAACCACTATGTCGAACTATAATAACCTAACCATTATCACTCAACTATGATATACTAACCACTATGTCGAACTATGATAACCCAACCACTATCAACCATCTACAATGACATACACCAATTTCATGACCAGTTATTGTCAACAACATTAACGTACATCATCACCTATGAGGTCAATACATATTGTCAATACCAACACTGACACCTAGTTGACTTCATTACCCGATATCATCACCAACACTAAAGCACGCCATCTTATATCCCTGCTACCAATGTCATTGCATGCCATCCCTTATAAGGCTGATGTAAAATGTTAACATGAATATTGATTCCCACCGACTTTATTTCCCTCCATCATCACCAACGCATGTCATCACCTATAAGGTCAATGCACATCATTGACATCAGTACTAATGCCCACTTACTTCATTGGCCACTATAAATGCTAGCTTTACTACATGCCATCACCTAAAAAAGTTGATGTACATTATAAATATGAACATTAACACTTTTAGACTTTGTTGACTACTATCACCACCAGCATAAATGTATCCATTTGTTAAAGAACTGATACACATCATCGACAGCAACTCTAACTCCTAATGTGAAGATCGATATTAAAACTATACTTCTTAGTTTCTATTCTTCTCTCCTTGAAGGATAATGATCAAATAAATCATGAATGGTATATTGGTGACATATTTAATTCCTTAATCCTAATTCAATTTTCATTAAATAATTCATTATGTATAGTTAATGTCAACTATATTGTATCAATATATTCCCTAATTATGGACAAGGGCATTATTTGTGAAAAACAAAATACACTAAGTGGAATCATTTTAAATGGACTAGGTCCTATAGCTTTTCTCTTTAAGGGTTATTCACATAAAAATATTAATGTCTCTTGCAACTCTTATTTTATTTATTGGTGTGTGATGATATTCATACTAGGCCAAAATGTTAAATGCTTTATAATAACTATTTTGCATCATATGTGGGAAACAATTCTAAGCTAGGGGCAACCACTACTGCAACCTCAAAAGGTCATTCACATTAACATACTGAGTATGGTTGTAGTAGGGCTATCCCTTTATTATCTATTTATTTATCAATTCTGAAAGAAATAAGTCAAAATTGGGGCAAAGTCAATTACAAACTAAAAGAGCAACACTCTAAGCTCTGATGTTGTTAAAAAAAGACTCTTTTCTTATGTCATCCATTGCTACATCAGTTCTATGGGGAGAAAATTAGACTCGAGGGAAACCCTTACTGCATCCCTAAAAGGATGTTCATTTAAAAATCATTGGCAGGGTTATTGTTAGGCAAGTTCTTCCATCCATTCTTTTATATACATCTGAGAGAATTCTATTGATTACTATCTTATCAAAGTATCTTATAAATATGAGAATTTTTTTAAGAAAGTTTCAAGTGAATTTCAAATTATAAATACATTCTACTCCTTTTGAAATTGTAAAGTCATGTCCTCAAATAATAGTATTGATTTAAGGCCAAACCAACTTTTACCTTTGATTAGAGATACAAATTATATTCACCCCATCCAATCAAGTTATAATTGATTCGAAAGGGACCAAACTGATTAATACAATATAAAAATACTTTAATAAACAACTTTGAATAGACAAAAAAAAACTCTTCATGCAGATTTGACACTAATAAAGTTTAGGTAACTTAAGAGGGCCAAGAAACAGGTATGATGTGCAAATCTAGAGTATATAAAAATTTGCATAATGGCCATAGCTCATGTAGAAAATATAAACATCATATTTTACAAATTAAGAGTTTCAAGTTGAGTAAAAAATAATCTAAAAGAGAGGTGTTTTTTTAGTCAGTTTGTATATGTAAGTATTAAGGCTTATGAAATAACCAACACTTAGACACGAGTGAAATAAACTTTTTTTTTTTTTAATTTCTAATTAATACAAACTTATCATGAAATCATACTATATTCAAATATAAGCTATCATAAAGCTTTTTTTTTTAATTAGATTAATTTGAAATTTGAATTGTTTGCAGTGAAAGAATTCTGTTGTTTCTAGCAAAATTATCCACCAGAAAAGCTAGGAATTCAACCAAAAATTTTTATTTATAGTGGATTTCCAACGGATAATATTTTGTTAGTAAAATGAGCATCAAAAAAATATTTGCAACGAACTTCTTCGACATAAATGGTTCAAAGGATTTCTGGTGGATTTTCGACGGGTTCACAAAAGAAAACCTGTCATATTTTGAGGGTTGAACCGGTGAATTTTCTACCTGAAACCTATAGCACATACGAAAAAAATATCCTCTTATATCAATTATTCTACAATAACTCATAAAGCAAGTATCAGACACTTAAAAAAATATATATGTTTCATCTTATCTTTATTGGTGGAAATTATTATTTTTCATCTTGTGGTCATACTATATGATATATTTTCCAATTTGATCTAATTAAGCCACAATGATTATTAGGCTAACTAATATACATCAAGGTGAACTAATCTTACTATATGATATGTATATCATATATTATAAGTGACAATTGAGCAAAACTTAATCTTTACCAAATTAGTATGCTTGTACTAATCATACTATGAGATTTACTTGTATTTTTTATATAAATTATTTTAGGGTCTTATTTTTGGATACTTGATATAAATAGTAATATGCAAATCTCAAAACATGGGAGGCCTCATAAAATCTAAGAAGAAAAAAAAAAGAAAAAAAGAAAAAGAGAGTGGTTGCTTGGAAGAGATTTTTTTTCTTTTAATTTTAAAATCCTAGATGGTGAGATCCCATTGTATGACTGCACTTGTTAGCTTATTTTCAGCTTATCTTTCAACTTATTCCTCCATTTATTTTATGTGGCTTGATGAGAGTTTGTTATACTAAAAATTATTAGAGATCTGTTAGATCTCAAAACTTACTTTGGTGCATTTATTGGCTAGCTGGTTGGTCAGAGTAGTAATCTTTTTGCTTGGACTAAAAAAATAGTATAGAATTTCTTCACTACCAATCAAGAAAAATGGCTTCTTTACTTGGTGTTGACTGGATGAGAGAGTATTGGAACCTTGGGTTGAGGTTAATTTTAAATCGCATACATTAGTGTTGAACCACTATTATTTATCTTTGTTATTTTCATTACTTGTGCTCAATAAATAAACTTTTGATGCATGATAATTTTCAATTTTGCATAAATCTATAAAAATATTCTTAGTTAGTGGTAATCATGTTGTGATATCTAATCAAACAACATATTGGATTTTCATCTTTGAAGTCGTCTCATCATTTGCTTTATATGTTAAGATCAATCACTAATTCATCTGCTCTTGGGTATTGTCATTCACTTCACTTAGTATTTTTGAAAAGGCTTTGGCACCCAAAAGTAGATCCTAAATGGCACACACTAGTAATAGAAGCACTTTGAAAGGGTATTATAATATTTGATCACATTTCTTTGATAATATATACTTTTTA